CCGTTAATTAAATGAGGGGGTGATTAGCAGGATTAATTTGGGGGGGCAGTTAATGGCATCATTAATGAGGGGGAGGTTGGTTAAGGGGGTGCTGGGGGTGTTAATTAGGCTAATTAGTTAAACAGGGGCTGATTGTCAGCACAGCTGGGGGGCTGAGCTTGGGGTTTGGGGTCATTTTGGGGGGTTTTGAGGTTTTTGGGTGTTTTTGAGGTGGTTTTGAGTATTTTTGAGGTGGTTTTGGGTATTTTTGAGGTGGTTTTGGGTGTTTTTGAGGTGGTTTTGTTTTGGGACTGTTTCAGGAGATTTTTGAGCGGTTTTGAAGGTTTTGGGGTGATTTTTAAGGTTTTTTGGGGGTTTTGAGATGGTTTTGGGAGGTTTTGAGTTGTTTTTGGGTGGTTTTGAGCCATTTTTGGATCATTTTGAGCCATTTTTGGCTCATTTCGAGCCATTCCTGAGTGATTTTGAGCAATTTTTGGGTCATTCCAAGCCATTTCTGGGTGTTTTTAGCCATTTTTGGGTTATTCTTAGCCGTTTCTGGGTGGTTTTGAGCCGTTTTTGGCCCATTCCAAGCCATTTCTGGGTGTTTTTAGCCATTTTTGGGTTATTCTTAGCCGTTTCTGGGTGGTTTTGAGCCGTTTTTGGCCCGTTCTGAGCCGTTTCTGGGTGTTTTGAGCCGGTTTTGGGTTGTTCCCAGCCATTCCTGGGTGGTTTTGAGCCGTTTTTGGCCTGTTCTAAGCTGTTTCTGGGTGGTTTTGAGCCATTTCTGGGTGGTTTTTGAGCCATTTTTGGGTAATTTTGAGCCATTTCTGGGTGTTTTGAGCTGTTTCTGGGTGTTTTTTAGCTGTTTTTGGCCCGTTCTAAGCCGTTTCTGGGTGGTTTTGAGCCATCCCTGGGTGTTTTTGAGCTGTTTGTGGGTGTTTTTGAGCCGTTTCTGGGTGGTTTTGAGCCGTTTTTGGGTAATTTTGAGCCATCTCTGGGTGTTTTGAGCCGTTTCTGGGTGGTTTTGAACCATTTTTGGCCCATTCTGAGCCATCCCTGGGTGTTTTGAGCCGTTTCTGGCCCGTTCTAAGTCATTTCTGGGTGTTTTTGAGCCGTTTTTGGGTCATTTTGAGCCATCCCTGGGTGTTTTGAGCCGTTTCTGGCCCGTTCCAAGCCCCCTCAGGACGTCCTCACCCCCCCTTCTCCCTCCCAGCAGCCCCGGCCATGGCGAGCAACGTGACGAACAAGACGGACCCGCGGTCGCTGAACTCGCGCGTGTTCATCGGGAACCTGAACACGCTGGTGGTGAAGAAGAGCGACGTGGAGGCCATTTTCGCCAAGTACGGCAAGATCGTCGGCTGCTCCGTGCACAAGGGCTTCGCCTTCGTCCAGTACGTCAACGAGCGCAACGCCCGCGCCGCCGTCGCCGGGGAGGACGGCAGGATGATCGCCGGGCAGGTCTTGGGTGAGAT